ATAGGCTAAAAATAGATTAAATCGGATGAATATTTACTTAATATAAAGATATCATACCGAATTTAGTCTTTTTCTAAATTATTATTATGTCTTTGCGTTTAAAAACGACACGAGTTACCCCAGCTCTTATAGACCACATTCGTGCTCTTTTTAATAACTTCGGATTTCTATTMAAAATTTAAGCGTTTATTTAGAAAAACAAATACAATAGTATTATTCAAACACGAAACTTCTCAACCGCTGTATTCGAGCCKCACATTTCGGCCGTTTTTCGCCAATCAATCCAATTTGAAAAGTTGTTATCCCTTCATTGTTTGACCTGRTTTTAGAAGCATATTCTTGTATATATGTAATRTAGCAAATACCTAGCATCACCTTGTCAACATGAATAATTAGCTTAGTCGTCTATTTGGCTGGTTGGCCAGGTTCAAACATACGGGTTTTACATTTAARATTGTCGTAATGGATCTATTTTTTTATCGGCATTCACAATTCGATACAAAAACAATTTCTTATTGTTGCGTTTAGGCAGAGTTTTTGACATAAAAAATCATATTTCAACTGCTTTAATTCATATGCACTCAAAAGTAAGGAACTTTTGAATGTATATTTTGCTTTTGAACATTTTGAGGTGACTTCCTAGAATTCAACTTGCTATCATTTCTTCATATAATATGACATATTTGAGTTAAAAAAATTCTTGTTACGCTCCAAATGAGTGACATGATATGGACGCATGTTCGGAATATTGCCACAATCATCGAATTACGCATTTTCTTGGCAAAAAGTTAGTTTTATACCCAATTTGTAATGTATTTCATTATTTTAAGCTGAAATTCCCTTAAATCAAAAAATAATAAGAAATCTTGGAGATGTTTGGGCGCCCGAATAATTTTTGTGAAATAGAATTTTGGAAAATTTACTATACATATCCAAATATTTATTATTATTGCTTTTCTTCTAACTTCAAAAAGTTTAAGTTGRTCAAAATTTGTGACATTTTAATGAATTGAAGTAGATTTTTTATCCATAATGTGGTTTGCCGCTAAATACTACTRTGAACAAAAAACGGACTTTCGCGCGAAAACCCGTTCGTTAAAATATTTTTTTTTTTGTTTGGTGGGACTGTCAGTGACAGTTTAGAATGCTAGAATGACCTTCGGTAATAATTGTTTGTCGCGAAACAGTGTTTTTGATTGGTACAAATTATCCATCGAGGGTTGAGAACGCGTTGATCATGAATCACGTTCAGAACGGCCTTCAACATCAACTGATGATCAACATGTCAATAAAATAAAGAAGCCCGTGCCTGATATCGACGATTAATATTCTGTGATCTTACTAGCATCGTTGGAATAGTGAAAGGATCAATGAAAACYTTTTTGAAGAAAAGAAAAGTGAAAGCACGGTTTTTTAAAAAATCACTAAATTTTTTCGAAAAACATCGTGCCGCTGACGTCTGTGAAACAATGCTTTCCGACTATCAGGATGTTATGAAAAGTATTATTACTGGCGATGAGTTTTGGATCTATGCTTACGACCCGGAAACAGCCGGTTTTCCCGAATATCATGGCAAAGGTGAGCCGAAGCCGAAAAAACCACGTCAAARCAGGTCAAAAATTAAAGTTATGTGGACAATTTTCTTCAATTATCGAAGTGTGGTGCACTGCGAATTCCTTCCGACCTACCAAACTGTCAACAAAAAATACTAATTGAGTGATATGCATCATTTGCGTGAAGTTATMCGTAAAAAGAGGCCGGAGTTATGGGTCTTGGCTTTTGCCTCTTGGACTGCACTGATCCTTCGCGCCAACTTTTCAGCCAGTGTCGTGCGACAATCACCGTATTCGCTTCAGTTAATCACTACGTGCATTGAATGCTTAGTCGATATATGGGGAAATTTTCATTAAATGACGTTGAATTAGTCTTAGTTTTCAGTTAAAATATGGGAAATACTTCTCTGCGGTCCGGATAACAACTAAAGGCGCCTGTTTATACTAATAAAGTGACCAAARAGGGTAAGAATATAATATATAAACGTTCCTTTTAAGAAAGTAMCMTATTMTTTTGTATGAAATGAAATTTAAATWAAATCTATTCGCTTAGATTTACTATAAAGGCAGTTGTAACATCAGTTAACTCTAATTAGAGATCTTATTCTCAAATGATGTATAACTAAAGAGTGATGTGGTTTTCAAGAAGAAATAAGGATTGCCAATRTAAATTAAAAATTACTTCAGACGAATTAACACCGCGGCTGGGTCGAATAAATTTCAGCAGAGAAGTATATTTTTCCACCACTTTTTGCAGCAATTAGGGTCATGTCAGCAATAACGTACCGCATATATAGTACTCTTCCAAGACGTCAAATGTTTGAGGCTTATCTGTGTAAACCAGCGACTTCACATAACAGCACCAAAAATAGCTTAGTTTTTTTAAACKAACAATCTTGGTGCTCACATACCTACGACACGAGTAATGCGCCCACCAAAATTTTTTTTCATTAAATTGATTGTTTCGGTGGATGTAAGGCATGTATCACAATTTTATTGCATCCAAAGGTTGTCWACTGTACGGCATCTATGAAAATGCATATTACACATTAGAGTAAACGAGGTGCAAAGCCCATCCAAGATTGTTTGAATTACCAACTCTGCTAGGAGCGAGTCGTCGCACGAACCGGTAATAAATTTTCACGATTTACAGCTTTAAAATAACGAAAATACTATAGTTCAGAGTCATTAAAACCAGTATAAAACGAATATAATTTTCATTTATAAGTTATTAGATACTTTTCTACTATATACTGAAATATTTAAACATAAGAATAAAAATAAAAAAACTTCGCCCGAGCAGGGACCTGAACCCTGTACCCCTGGATTAAAAGTCCGATGCTTTATCGACTGAGCTACCCGGGCACATATAAATGTATTTTACGTCCATGTAACTTGTGTCACCACCATTTCCACATGCCCATCTTGCACCATAGAACACCCTTGAAATACGAAAATTTAAATTTTTTAAAATATTTTATTAATTTTGTTCTTTTTGATTTTTTAATCTATCCTTAGCTTAATTTTCTAAGTATTGCATTACCATAATCTTACACTATTTAATCGTATGTTTACTTGTATTGCGCACTACATCCGGGCAATTGATTTATCTAAATTATGCATACGTACGAGTTTGTGTGTACGCACACATGTTACATAATACATATGTAGATAAATATGGGAATATAAACTGAAGTCAGATTGCTAAACTAGTGCGTTCATTGAAATTGTTTTTGAGACATATTATGTAACTAACCACTTTAACTTCTTTACATGGAATGCAGCGTTCTTATACAAATTGGGTTGATAACTGTGCACATACCACACATACACTTGAGACTCACTTAGCCATCTTATATCAATCGATATATTAATCGCTATTTATACTGATATTGCAAATCTAATATGAAACTATTTTTGCCTTACTAAACTAAGATAAAACGATTTTATTGTAGAAATAAAAATCGCAATACAAACAATTTTCGCTAAATTTTTTTAAAATTAACGTTATCTTAACTAAATTACTTAATGAAGCAAGGTTTTCAATTTGTTTTAGACTATCTCAATATACATATTATATATTTCATACGAATGCACTAACCTTATTATTACCGGGGAATATAMATACATGATTTTAGTACAGTATTTCTCTTCTTCAGGTTATTCCTTTGTAAGCAGCGTGTGACTTTGCAATTTAAATAGCTATTTAGTTCATTCTTAACTAAAGAAATATGCTGTAATTTTTATATAGGTCTGGAATTCGCTTAAAACGAAATACATGGCTGACAACTTCATATTTACTAATAACATTGATAAAAAATATGATGAGAACTTTCCCCAAATTTTCACAAAAAKCAAAATTGAGGATTTGTGGCAAAAATTCATAAGTTTGAATATCAGTATATATTTATGTTTTGTCTTATTGACGACTAAACATGACCTGTTTTTCCCGAATTTGTTTTTGTTATTGGTTTATAAAGTAATATTTATGGATTATGAAAGGTTTCTGAAATCACGTGTAGTTAAGCTCAGTTGCGAACTTTGCTAGTGCCCGGGAATTTACAGAGTCAACAAAAACAATTTAAAGCTATATTATATAAAATTTAAAATTTAAACACATACTTTCAATATATACAAACAATAAAAGAATTATACATTACAAAATATGATTTGTACAAAGATGAGTACGCTAACAAATAAAATATTATGGGGTTKACATCCTATTAAATAGAATTAAGTACTGTCGCACATAATACAAGACCTCGGCACTTTTAAAATTGTCAACACATTTCCGCCAGGTTCAACAATAATAATATGTTTTTTGAAATGCTGAAGTTGAAGGGGAGCTGGAACTAATATGATTTAATTTAAACTTTCACCAAACCAGTTAGCGGATCACTGTATTATTCTGTACATTGGAGATTAAACTACGTTTAAATTAACACAGCACTGCCGTCGTTGTCAAGCTTCCTTCATTTTTAACTCTTTATAAATAAAATACAAAATTTAATTTTTAACAATTAAGTTTTCGAAATATACTAATTAATCATCGCAGTTTTGAGTGGACGGCAGTGCTTGTGGTTTTCTTAAAACTAATTGCTTTTCGAATACTGCTTAGAGAATATAGCGGTTTATCATACTGGACGGTTTTCGYAATTTCACGAAAAAGAGGACGAAATGCAAAGTCTTTTGTTTAAAGCTTTGTCAGTCCATTGAGGTACTTATAACTTACAAAGAAGAGGATTTTCAATGTGAACAATATGAATTCACRAGATTCCAAATGAAACGAAATTCCTCTGTTGCTGACCAGTATCATAAACCTGCACGAGCCACTCGTGGAAGTTTCGGTGATAAGTGTCAATGCTCCACGAAAACTATATTCATTCTTAGAGGCTCGTCGCTTGCTTAACACAAATCAGTTGCATTCAGAAATTATCATCGTTGTTCTAGTTTTTAGCTGTCGCTAGCAGCAGCTATAGCAGCAGTCTCGAAGGCATCTACAGCTTTATTGCAACAACAACATTGACAWCTCTCAACAACAATACATATTACAATCACCGACGATTTCGTCCTTGAACTCCAACTCCGTGGTTTCTGCATCTTCGCACAATTGTTTGTTTTCGCAGAGTTGCCGAATCGAGCTACGTTCGGACTGGAGGATGTGATGCTGATGCAGCGATTGTTGTTGCTCGTATTGGTGTTGTTGCTGTAGAAGTTCGTGTTCATGTTGGAGATGCAATTGCTGTGGATGTTCTCTGAAGATAATTTGAGATCAGAACTCTTGTGGATATTTGACACATTCTGCATTGGAAGCGGTGGCAGAAGTGAACAGCGAGTTACCACCGCCAGAAGCGATCCCAACGCCAGCACCGCCGCCTAGGSCCATGCTAGAGTCTTGTGTGTTTTGTGTCTGATATCCACCAGCTGCTACACTAGCTGCTGCCGCCGCCTGATATGGTTCCTGATACAACTGATTGAGTCTCTAACCAGTACCCGAAAAGTGCCACGCGTCCTATGCACTCAAATGGGCAAATTGTGACGGATGAATATCGAATTGATGATAAGGGTGGCCATAAGGACCCATGTGATATGGTACAATATTCATAGAAGCCATCTTGTGCTCTTTTTTCCATTTCATTCGTCTATTCTGAAACCAGATCTTGATCTGTCGTTCGGTGAGGCATAGCGCGTGCGCAATTTCAATWCGCCTTCGGCGGGTCAGGTATCGATTAAAGTGAAATTCTTTCTCTAGCTCTAACGTCTGATAGCGGGTGTATGAGGTCCGTTGTCGTTTCGTCTCGCCATTGGCATTAACAGTACCTGTAATGAAAAATAAAGAAAGGGTTCCATAAAATAGTGAAGAAAATAGTGAAGTGTATTGATAATGTTCAATATAATGAGAACGTGGCGGACTGCCGAAATCACCTAAATGAGTTCGTGGGATCCTTCGTATCCCCGTAATGTTGAAAACCAGTAATTTTTTAATAAAGACACATATATACATATACATTTTGAGAATTTTATGCTAGCCAACTATGAGCTCAGTGAAACGACCCCAAACAGCAAAACATTCAGCCAAAAGCGACATTTGCTAACTTTCCCAGCATTTAAATGAAAAACAAAGTGATTGCGCGTTTGTTAAGCTTCTTCTTCCTTGTGATATTGACTCACTGCCACACATTTCTTAAGCACTGTTGCATTTATTTTTTATTCACACTGCAACTWCAATCGTATATTGCCTTCCGTAGATGCTTTCCACCCCTTGATTGAAAAGCCAATCTTATGTGTATGTAACCAAAAAATGCTTCAGTAAATGGTAATTTTCAGTAAATATGAAATGAGGTGAAAATGGAAATAAACAAATAAAAAAGGTTTACTATATGCCACACTTCACGCCCCCTCATTAGAGTCGACGCGTCTTGTCCTCTTCTTATGGTAGTTAATAATAATAAAAAGGTAAATGTCGATATTATCAGCCGCACACGRGCGACTCTAGCTCTACGGCAAACCTATACCATAAGGAGCGAATGCTTTACCGTGTTGTTTTGTGATTTATTCATTGATGCTATATAGTTAGAATACTACGAAAACTTAAAGAGTAATCAAGTCTTTAGTCTAAATTGCGCCTTGACACGTGATTTTTTGTGAAAAGAGCATCATGTCCAAAGTTGAGAAATCGCAAACCATAAATCGGGTGGTACGCGCCCACCTTATGGGTTAAAGGTTTTTCATGTATCAGTCTGATGTATTTTCAGGTAGATGGATTATGATAGTATCTCTCAAATGAATGAAAAGACACTCTCTTTTATGCCAGCTATTAAATATTATTCAGTCCAAATTAACAGAACTAGTTTGCATTTGGTGCAGATATTGGTGTAGGTCTAGAGTAGGTGAAGAAAGCTTGCACTCGTTTCACTAGTGTGATGTCGTTGAGTGATTGTCGTTGGTGCGATGAACCTCTCTCGTCGCAGGGTGTATTTCAGATACATAATTCTAATTGTCGATTACTCAAATGGCTGTGAACGCCTGCTTACGCCTTCCAACACCTCTGTGCAAGTATGTGATATAAACAGCGAAAATGTAAGAAAGAGCAAATGAGACTATGAAAAAAGGCGAGCGAATATATAAATGTATTGAATACATACAAATGTATATCGMGCATAACTCATGCATGTATAATATTTGCTAATAGAACGAAGTGCTTTAAACATAGCTTTGTGTGGACATGTGTAAACAATCTGGTCTGTAAATAATAATTTTTATGTTAAGTTTGTACACTTATTAGTTCGAGATTGTACAATATGCTTTTTGGGAAGCGCTCTTTTGATTTTGAGCAAACAACATTCATGTGAATTCTTTACTGATATCACAACTTGAAATTACGTGCATGCTTGCATATACTTTACATCACATCATAGACAGAATAAAGACGCATTTATTTTGATGTTAAAATAAATGTATGACATTTTGTACATCCTCTTAAAATTTCGGGATTTTTCCATAAACTTAATAATTATGGCATTTCGTGTTTTAGTCTTATGCTTTTCCCTTTACGAATAAAAAAGGTAACCAAAAAATAACTTAATTTTTTTCCATTTAAATTCTGCCGGCGAGTATTTTCTTTCTTTGTTTCTGATAATAAACACGATAAAATTCCTGTTTCGAAAATTAAAACAATAATATTTTATCGGTTCCAATTCTGATTCCGGCAAATATCGGATTCTACGTCGATCCTGTAAATCTGGTAAAGAAATCACAAACCTATATTTGGCTTAATTCTTTATGGATTAAATATATGTATGTATGTGTATATGAAATATAGAACACTATACAAAAGGATTACAATTCGAAGAATGGTAAATGTTCAGGAGCCAGAGGACGCAATTAACACAAAAGTAGACGTAACGGCGATTTACCAGTTAATTAAGATAGTGATCGCAATGGAATTTCCTATTTGGATAAATAAATTGAAAAATATTGATTATGATCTTTTTGAAATGCCACTTTTTTGTAGTCAGTATGCAATATATTTCAATACAATACAAAAACTCATCACATTCTTAAATACATTAATCACATTCTTAATTAAATTAATGTAATGCATATCACAAATTATTTATTTTAATCTGAATTGTAAGAATGTGTCACTGTTTATAAAAAATCAATAAAAAGCTGATAGCGGTGTAGGTCTTGTAAAGGAGTAAATAGCCTTGAAAAGGTCACTTTCTCACATGTGGTATCAATCCACGAATGTGTGCATACGTAAATATGTTTTTATGAACACTAGCCGGTCTTTGTTTTGACGCCAAACCGCCAAACATGTCGAAGCATATCAATCAGAGGGAAAATCTAAATGGAATTTCCGATTAAACTTAAAATTAATTACCACTCATTTAATTAAGGTGCATTTGAGTGTGGCAACCGCATCACGTGTATATAGTACATATTTACATACCCGGTATGTTTATACAAATGCACATGCCATATGGAGTTGTGCAACGCGCAGAGAAAGAACCGAAGGACGAAATGAGAARCAAAATTAACGCACACGCCTTTATTGCTATGAATTACTCTACTTTGTGCACTATTGCATATATCCACACACTTACACATATGCATTATAGTTATTTGGTGTGCACTCTTAGCATTTTATTTCTTTTATAAAAAGACATGTGTGGGGACATGTCCAAGAGCGCGCCAAAAATAGTAAATGAAAATGGAAATAGAGAGAAGGAAAGTGGAAATATTGGTACGTACACATGTTTATTGATAGAACATACATATGCCCCAGCCGCAATCTATGTGAACGGGTTAAAACTAATGACCAAGTCAGCAACGTGTAGACAGTAACCAGACGCTTGGCAAAACAATCGGCGAGTAGACAGAAGAAGCAAGAAGAAGATTGACAACCACTTCAGTGGTCACAATCAGCGGGAGCATCTACATATTTACTTGTKGTATGCGGCAACACATGAACTACAAGTTCATCACTCATTCGCTATTGTTCGTCGGAACTGGTGAATATCCGTCYGTTGTTCAACATGCATACATACATRTACACATACATATATATGTTATATATAAAAATGACAGAAGGCTATTATTAATTCTAAAGGCGAAAWCGGGGGAAGTTACTAAATTGTAAAATATTTAATAATTTTAGGATATAATAGGATTGAATGTACAAATAATAAGCTCGGAAGAGCTAAGTTCAAATATGATATTTCTTTAAGATTGTTATAGGTCATTGACTCACTTAGTTGTATTGTCATATTTTACATCGCGTCAGCGAAAACTAAGACATACCTGACATAAACTTAACCGAAGGGGCTAAGTTTAATATATAGAGATSATGAGCAAAACGTTAATCAGAGGAACGCAATTCATTATATTTATTAGGAATATGAGGCTTAGACCAATTCTTTACATAGTCAGCGCTAAATATTTTAAGAAAACTGGTACACTTAATTTCATTAAAATGTCACACATTTTGACAAACATAACTGTTTAAAGTCAGGTGGAAAGTAAGAAAACACAGCCTGTATTAAGGGCAGAGAAAGGTTAKGGGATTTTGCATTAGTATGGAAATTGCGCTGGTATATTCAAGTATACACGCTGACCTACATGCGTTTGTTAGAATAACGTGAATCAATATATAGTACATATGTACAGGGCCGGCCCGAGAGAACTTACCGCCCTCGGCAGAGGCGAAATTCTGCGCCCCTTCTTAGTCTACTTTGTCTGAATAAAAAAATTTATAACCTTTGGAAATTATGAAGGTCTTTTTAAAGRTTTTAAAGTTATGAGGTATATTTAAAGTCATAAAGACCAACTATACATTTGAAGTTGTCCCAAATACAAATTTATGTCTGAGAGTGTAAAGCCTGCGAAAGTTTTAACCGAAAAATAAAAGCAGTTCAATTCAGTTCTTGCTTACGAAAAAGTGATAAATTATTAAATGGACATTTGTTTTGATTTAGAGTGAAAAAAATTAATGGAACATCACCACAAACTCAAACAAAGACTTCGATATATATACTTAAGAAGGTTTTAATTTTTTGCATTGTGGATAAAATATAAATGACTGAAAAGGAGAATAACGTTTCAAAATGTKAATTTTATTTAAATAGTAGATTGTATCGACTCTTTGTGTCCGAAACACTTCCCACAGTTTCTAAATGTTATTTTTGCTCTTTTAAAATTGTAGCGTGCCTCGTCCAGCATCGGGATTTTCAACAAATTTTTCATATTACTATGTATTTGTACAAAATAACTAAYTGAAATCAGCCGAAAGCCTTTGATGCTAGCGCTGCGTACTTTAGTTTATTTAATAATTTGTTTATTATGTAAGCTTTAATAAAATAAAAAACTGATTGAAATAGTTTAAAATTATAAATAAAACAAAAAATGAAAACAGGGTAATTTCATTTTTTCCTAAATAAAGCGGAAATGTTCATACACAACTGTTTGGTAGTAGTTCAAACGTTAACACTACTGAGACAGAATTGAATGTGAGAACATTTCAACCGACATTCTTTTGCACGCGTTGAGTTGATATCAATAACACTGAATTTTAAAACTTCTCCCAAAATTCAATTGGGCTGAAAACCGTAATAGTTGCAATGATTATTAMAAACTTATTTTAATAAGTAGTTAGACAAAAAAGTTAATTATTTAAATATTTTCGTGCCTTTAATTTAGAGTTCGTATCGCGAATTGACTCATCTTCCGCCTCATAACTGAATTGTCTTTTTTTTTTCTCAAGCGGACTGGTACAGTTTCTGATCGAAAGTACATATGTAAAAACATAAATATGTGTG